ATTTGCCTTTGCCTATGTGTCTAATCTACATGCCTCTGACGACAGAGGCATGTAGTCTAGACACAGCCCTGGAGTACTGTGTCCAGTTCTGGGGCCCCCATTACAGAAAAGAAGTGGATACATTGGAGAGGGTCCAGCGGAGGGCAACAAAAATGATGAGGGGGCTGGAGCACATGACTTACGAGGAGAGGCTGAGGGATTTGGGCTTGTTTAGTCTGCAGAAGGGAAGAGTGAGGGGGGATTTGACAGCAGCCTTTATCTGCTTGAAGGGGGCTTCCAAAGAGAATGGAGAGAGGCTGTTCTTGATGGGGACAGATGGCAGAATGAGGAGCAACGGTTTCATGTTATAGTGGGGGAGGTCTAGGTTGGATATTAGAAAAAACTTTTACTAGGAGGGCAGTGAAGCACTTTGGTTCCCGAAACTTTTACTAGGAGGGCAGTGAAGCACTGTGATTGGTTCCCTAGGGAGGTGGTGGAAGCTCCATCGCTACAGGTTTTGAAGTCCAGGCTTGAGAAAGCCCTGGCTGGGATGATTTAGTTGGGGTTGATCCTGCTTTGGGCAGGGGGCTGGACTCGATGACCTCCTGAGGTCTTTTCCAACCCTGTGATTCTACAAAGATGACTCCATTCCAGGCAGCACATGCTGCAGCCTCCGACCTAAACACACCCGTCACTTCAGTCCCCAGTTCACCCCACTGCAGGCAGAGCGCCTGGCAGGGGCAGACCACCAGGACCCCATGCAGAGGGCACCTGGGAGCACCCAGCCCTGGGACAAGTCCCAAGGTTGGGGAGAGCCTGGGCCGTGGAGCTGTGCTCGGGTGCAAGGGACTGTGCCTTACTGGGATAATTAAAGGGTAGGTGGCTCTGGAAGTGGCTCTTGCTGCTGGAGGTCTGGCTCCGGCTCTCAGGCGGTGGCTGATAATCCGAGTGCTGCGTGGTGCTGAAGAAACAGGCGTTTAAATGCTTGTCACCCAGAGACACGTTGTTTCGGAGTCTCCAGGGTGGCACCTCTGGCTGAGGTGGACCGGCCCCCACGTCGCACTGGAGACATTTTCATAGAAATGTGCCTGTTTGAAACATATTCAAGTGTTTGGAGCCTTTTTTTAAATGCTGTTTTAGTCTACACTGGCTGGTTCTTGCGCAAGACTTGACATACACAGGTGTCGAGAAATACCGTGAGGCTCCAGAGAATGAATCTACTCTAGAACATCGGACTGGCCGAAGCGGGCCAGAGCTCTGATCCATCTGGGCAGTAGCCTGTTTCCAAGCAGGAGCTTGGTTTGTTAAGGGTGTCTGCGCACCGGGTCAGCTCGATGCAGCCGGTCGAGGCCGGGGAGGGAAAGGGGTTTCCGGCCAAAAAGCACAGCTCGCACATGGCAGTGTGGACGTTTTCTTGCGCAAGACTTCTTGCACAAGAACCCTTGCGCAAGATGTTCTTGTGCAAGAACCCGGCAGTGTAGATATAGCCAGGTCGCTGTTAGCTGCAGGATGCTGGGTATTTCTCTGGCAGGCTGCACTGCTTCTGCCTGGGATGGTGACCCCACCATGATCCCCCCAAGCTGACCTTTTGAGAGTGAGCTCTGTGACCTCACTGTGCTCTCTGAGGCTGTAAGCCTGTGACTGGAGGCTCTCTGCAAGCCCTGGGGAAGGGTGGCTCTGTGGCAGCCGGAACAGAAGCCAGGCCTCCCAGGGAATGTGCCCAAAGACTGGGACAGGACACGGTCCTTGCTCACTCATAACACGAATGTGTGGCCAGTGTCCTTTCGAGACCCAGCCTGCAGCCGCTCGGCCCTTCTGGTGCATTCAGTGAACTTTAGAACACGGAGCAACTCTGCGACAGCAGCTGGCACAGACCGGGGTGTGGAAGAAGCGGTTGGTGGTGGCATTCGCACGCTCCCGATTCCTCCCAGGGTCTTCGTCGCCTCTGAGGACCGATGAAGCCTTTTTGCTTGCGCCCAAGATTTTCACAGGGGCTGGGAAAGGCAAGAAGCACGTCCTGTCAGGGTTCCCAGTTCTGGACAGGCTGGAGCGGCAGCAGCATTCCCGGACGGGATGCATGGCCAGAAGGAAAGGCCCATCCAGCTGTGTCTACGGCACATGGAGAAAGGCTGTTTTGGGGGTGAGGGGCTGAGCGGGGGCAGGAGGTCTGGGTTCATTTCCTGGTTCAGGTTTTCAAGTGCACTCAGCCCCAGGCTTAGAGGCTCTTCACGGTTCCTAGTCAGAGCTGCTGGGTGTTGAGCGCTTTTGAGGACCTGGCTGCTTATTTGGAAGCCTAGAGAGGAGCTGCACGCCTGGCAATTGACACCATCGCATCTTTGAGTCTCAGTCCCCTGTCGGTAAAATGGGAACAATCTCCTTCCCTTCCCCCACCTCTCCGAGCACTTCAGGGCAGAGACTGTCTCCCACCACACATGGCCATGGGCAGGGCCTCTTGTTGCTACTGTAATACAAACTCTAAGGGGGAGGACACGGGCAGAGCAGCGGCCGCTCCCAGTTATGCCTGAGCTGAGCAGAATGCTGGCAGCTGCGCTTTCTGCACATGGGTTCTGCTGCCTCTGGGATAGGGTTGCCATGTGTCCCGTTTTGAACTGGACAGTCCTGTATTTGGGCTTTCTTTTTGGGAAACAAATTGAGAAAATAGAAATGTCCAGTTTTTTCTAAATCAGATGTCATGTAGATTGTGATGTAATGTCTGGCGTGTCCAGTATTTTTGTTAAACCATTTGGCAACCCTACACTGGGACAAAGCAAGGGTGGAAATAACAAAGGGCCGGGACAGGAGGGATAACCACGTGGAGGCTGTATCTTCATTCACCCTGGGTCAAATGCAGGACTGGTGGAAGCAAGTGTCACCCTCCGACCCACTCCCCGAAGTCAACTGATGTGCACCTACTTCCATCAAACATTTATCTGGCCCCGCATGGTCTTGAGGCTTGGCGAGGGTGTAAGTTTGGATAAAACTGGACTCAGATTTGATCCGCCAAGCACTGGCTTCGGTTTGTAAAACCAATCACCCAAGTTTTGCATGAGCCCAGCAGTTTTCAAACTTTTTTCCCCATGACTCAGTTGAAGAAAATGGATGATGCTGTGACCCAACGGAAAGTGACTAGAGTGTGGGTGCCGGGGTGGGGAGGATGGGCTTTGGGGTGTAGGAGGAAGCTATAGCTTTCGGGGGCAGGGCTGGGCTGGGAAGGGCTGACCTGGAGCAGCTCCCGGTCGGTGGTGCAGCGGGGGGGGCGGGGGGGCTAAGGCAGCTTCCTGCCTCTCCTGGCACCGCAGACCCCCCTGTGCCCCAGAAGCAGGTTCCCGGCCAATGGGAGTGTGGGGCTAGTGCTCAGGGCAGGGGCAGTGCACGGAGCCCTGTGCACTCCCCCACCACCCCCCCGCCACATACCTAGGAGCCAGGCCTGGTGCTGGCTGCTTCTAGGACACAGCACCTCCTGCAGTGTCAGGACAGGCAGGTTACTGCCTTAGCACCTCCATTGCTCACCTGAGCTCCCTGCGGCAATGAGACCCAGAGCCCAATATTCTACGACCCAGTCCTGGGTCACCACCCATAGTTTGAAACCCACTCACTAGCCCGCTGGAGGCAAGAACAGCAAGATCTCACAGCGTGCGAGTAACTGGAAACCAAACTCCCCCTGGCGCACGCACCAGAGGAAGTCAGGCCAAAGAAATTAACCAGCGTGTTGCTCAAAACACGTATCGGTCAGCCCCTTGAAATGGGGTGGGAATAGCTTCAGAAAGTAGAAAACAGCGGGAGCGGGGTGCACAGCACCGGAAAGGTCAGTGGTAAATGCTACTCCCCAGCCAATAGGAAAGCACAGCTGTACAACGTCTGTGATCTCTCGCTGCGTCCATACCTGGCTCCCGCAGTGGGAACGACTCCAGGGTCACAGTACCGTATCTGGTGTGACCATCCCCTGGTTTGACGTTCGTCTTGTATACTTGGGAGGCAGCACGTTCCTTGTCATAAACTCTGCAAGGCACCAGATACGAGTTGCTGAGAGAAGGCAGTGAGCTGCAGGTAGAGGACTCAACAAGAACTTCCCAGGGACAGCCCATCCGCTGGACTTGCTGGCTACCTGCGGTTCCTTGTGTCGGGCACGGTGTAGGCACGTTTCCCCTCGCTGGTGCTGACGCTGCTCCTGGGGTCTCCAAACACAATGGAAGACTTGTTCTATGGAGAAACTTCCTCTGAGTGACGCTGCCTGCTATGGGAGCAGACCTCACCAGTTAATTACAGGGGGAAACCGGGACTTTGCTGACTGTCTCCCCAGGCTTGCCCACCAAGCAATGGGGGGCAGTGCTTACCTGGAGCAGCTCCCCAGGGATGCACATGGCTCTCTGTCCCCTGCCACTCCCAGGCACTGCCCCCCTGCTGCTCCTATTGGCTGTGATTACAGCCAATCAGAGCGGCAGGAGAAAAGCGTCCAGGCAGCACCTTTCCTGCTGCCGTTTGCCTAGCTGGGGGGAGTGGGAGCAGAAGCGGGAGTGCCCAGAGGTACTTCCTCTCCCCACCAGGCAGAGCCCATGGGTCAGATTTCACCCTAGCTTGCCTGACTCCAGCCCTCCAGGCCCTTCCCCCACAGCAGGGAGCCGGCATTGGCGCGCCAGTTCTGCAGCAGTGCTGGAGCACAGCACAGGCTCCGCAATGCTGGGGGGAGAACCCCAAGCCTCGGGGCCCAGATCCAAGCAAGCTGGGGGCCAGAGTTACCCCCCGGGCCATAGGTTCCCCACCCCTGGTTTAGATGAACCCAGAGATATCAATTATTTACGCTCATTGCACCTTTCATCAGAGGGTCTAAAACCGTAATCCTCACAATAACTCTGGGAAGTCACACCAAGGGCCAAAATGTTCACACTTGAGCACTACAGCCACAGATGTCTGAGCGCCCCCATCTCCCAACAAGGGAACAGGACCATGGGAGGGGCGGCCCCAAGAGAATAAGGCCATTTACTCTGGTAGCTGAATATGGAGTTAGGATGGTGATGGTACCTGGACGCAGGACTTCACAGGAGGGATCCAGCCACCCTCAAACTGTTCTCGGTAAGAAGTACCATAGTAGGAGCATGTGTCACCTTTAATTGTGGGAACTCCTCCTGCCAAGCAACACAGAGAGAAGGAACAGAGTGCTCAAGTACAGCGCTGAGGACGTGTCAGAAGCTAATATAGGAACTAGGGTTCCAAACCAGCTGCCCTCTGCCCAGTCTCACACTTGCCTGGAGTATCTATCCACTAAGGGTACGTCTAGACTACAGGGTTTGTCGACAGAAGTTTTGTCGACAGATACTGTCGACAAAGCTTCTGTTGACAAAGAGCGTCTAGACTACATTCAGTTCTATCGACAAAGCAAGCTGCTTTGTCGACATAACAGTGTGGACGCAAAGGACAGTTTAGATGCAATAATGCCTTCTATCGACAGAACTCTGTCGACAAAAGGCGTTATTCCTCGTAAAATGAGGTTTACCAGCATCGACAAAACTGCTGAGTTTTGTCAATGTTATGTCAACAGAACTCAGTGGTAGTGTAGATGCAGGTTTAGTTTTGTCGACAAAAGTCCACTTTTGTCGACAAAACCCTGTAGTCTAGACACACCCTAAAACTAGAGGAAGAGGCTATTGCAACTTGGCTCCTTCATGACAACCCTCCAGCCCGGGGTGCTGTCTGCCTAGAACAGGGGAGGGCAATAATTTTCACCGGGGAGCCACTTAATGAATTTTGGTACATGGACATGGGCCAGCTCCACCCCTAGAAGGGGCGGGGCTGCATCTTGCCCAACCCTGGCCTAGAACAAAGGGATTTTATGTGACCCATCATCCCCCAGTCACTGGGTCTAGGAGACCATGGTGGTTCTCAGGTTAGGCAAGTGACCAGAGCTAAGAAATCAGGGTCTGATCGAACAAAGTGGCCTTTTCCACAGATCAAAGATCACTATCTCCTGGCCCCATAACAACCCGACCACCACTGAAGGAGCAAATGCCACCTGGGCCAGTTCAGCAAAGGCCTTACGCACATGCTTGGTGAGTGGGAACTGATTTCTTCAGCAATGCTGCTTCTTGGCAAGCCCTTCTGTAAATACCTAGTGTGCTGTGGTCACTGGTAGTCTGGGTCCAAATTCAGCGCTGGTGGTCTGGGTCCAAATTCAGCACTTGGTCACTAATGTGTGTATATCAGGTAGGCCCACCTGTGCACACAGTGGTGCACAGCTGGCAGCCTGTGTGAAAGAGAAGCACGGACTGTAACAGAAACCAGGGATATTTGGAAGGCTGCCAGGCAACCATGTGTGTGCCAGCCAAGCTGAACGCCAGAGGGTGCTCCAGGTAACGAGGAAGTTGCATTGGCAGAGCTGCATGGTCAAAGCTTGTACCATACACTCCCTTTCACTTTCACAAGCACCTAATTCCCACAGGAAATGATAAACGGGAGACTGGAGATAGTTAACGATTTCTAGATGCTAGAAGTCAGCACTTTGATGGTAAAGGACTCCAGTCACTACAGCAAATACAGACACACTCTCCGGTTGTAATGGGAACCTAAACAGAGCCAGTGAAAATCCCAGTGCCTGTGAATGCCATCTGCTTTGAGAACGAGGCCTCAACCTGACAGAGAGAATCCCAAATTACTCACCCAGATGCCTGCATGGTGCTCTGACAACCGGCTGGTGTATCTCGTGTGCTGGATATGAAAACTGGTAGACCGAAGGCAGGAGCTTCAGTTTGTCTTTATCTCCACAAGGAAAATGGTCTTCCTTCTTATTGTAATCAGCTCTGGTGGAGGTTGGTGCCTGCAGAGTCACGTCTGGCCAAGGGTAGTTGTCCCTTGACGTTGGGGTTAAGATTTTGATCTGGGAATCTGCATGCATTTGGAGATGAGATTCTGGAGGACAGATTTGGAGCTTCGGTTCCAGAGGTTTCACTGGAAATGCCCGGCAGGTTTCTGACAGGGTTTCTCTGGTTTCATCCATATCCTGATTCAAAACACCCTTGGAGCTTGGAGGCAGAATTGGGTTTGATTTGTAATTGCCCCATAAGGGAGGAAAATCAGTGCGGAAAGGAGATTCAACAACGCTTCCCTGTGGTCTGTGGTCAAACCCTAACTGAAAATGGGAAGCCTTTTGGAAGGGGATCCCCGTGAGCGGGGCTGGAATTAACGACTGGACAGATGCTGGCATTTTCCCCTGTAAAGCAAAAGACATGTCAGTGATATCAGACTTGGGTGCAATGCTGCCTTAGTCCCTTCCTGAAGAACAAGGAGCAAGAGGCTCCAAGAGCTAAGAATGAACAGATTAGGATCTTTATTCTCTGAGGCTATGTCTACACTGGCGGCTTATTGCGCAAGAACATAGAATCATAGAATACAATCATAGAATCATAGGACTGGAAGGGACCTCGAGAGGTCATCGAGTCCAGCCCCCCGCCCTCAAGGCAGGACCAAGCTCCATCTACAACATCCCTGACAGATGTCTATCTAACCTGTTCTTAAATATCTCCAGAGAGGGAGATTCCACCACCTCCCTTGGCAATTTATTCCAAAGAAGTCTTGCACAAGAAAACGTCCACATTGCCACGTGCGAGCTGCGCTTTAGTGCAAGAGCGCCCATGGCAGTGTGGACGCTCTCTTGCGCAAGAAAGCTCTGATGGCCATTTTAGCCATAGGACTTTCTTGCGCAAGAAATCCCTGCTGAGCGTCCACACTGCCCTCTTGCGCAACAGCTCCAGCGCAAGAGGGCTTACACCTGTTAGAAAAGAGCATAGCTCTTGCGCAAGGAGCCATCTCTTACCATGTAAATTTCCTTGCGCAAGAGTGGGTGGGCAGTGTAGACGCTCTGCGGATTCTTGCGCAAGAACGGCCATACTTGTGCAATAACCCACCTTTGTAGACATAGCCTACAGTGGTCCCCAACACGGTGCCTGCGGGCGCCATGGCACCCGTGGGGGCATTTGTGTGCACCTGCCAAGTGCTCAGGGCTGGCCTGGCCCCGGGCACGTGGCGCACAGTGAGCGCGCCCTCTGGCGCCCGGCGGACGAATGGCCACGCTCCCTGGCACCCGGCAACCTTAAATGGTTGGGGACCACTGGCCTAACAGGATGTCCAGGCCAGCCCCTTGAGGGGAGGAGCCTGCATCATCCCAGAAGCAGCCACTTATGAATTACAACCATTTGCCCTCTCTATGATGAAATGAGCTCCCAGCACACTCCAAACAGCAAGTGCATCCTCCCATGAAGCTGCCCTGCTCTTCCCTGGCACCCGGCAACCTTAAATGGTTGGGGACCACTGGCCTAACAGGATGTCCAGGCCAGCCCCTTGAGGGGAGGAGCCTGCATCATCCCAGAAGCAGCCACTTATGAATTACAACCATTTGCCCTCTCTATGATGAAATGAGCTCCCAGCACACTCCAAACAGCAAGTGCATCCTCCCATGAAGCTGCCCTGCTCTCCCTCTTTAGCGCAGTCCAGAAACAACTGGGGCTTTGTCCTGCCTGAGATATAAATTCATCTTCCTACAAATTCATAGCATGCAGGAAGTGGGTCTTTTACCTGCTAATCACCCTGGGCCAGGCTCTGAGATATTTTTAACAGGATTATTGGAACCCAAAGGGCAATACATAAAAAACATAGCCAAGGATGGCCAGATGACAGAGAGACGTTCGCCAGTCTCCCCATCCGGGTCTGGATGGCTACATGTGCAGTCAGAGCCTGCTACCATGGCAGAGACTCAGCCTGTGCACCTGGTAGTTCAGACAGCATTTTTATAGCATGAACCAAAGGCAGTCTGGCCCCAGAGCAAAGCAACAGGAGCCTTGCTGAGCTAGTACTCATCTCCCCTCTGGCTGAGTGAGTGAGAGCTACGTTACTCTCAGGTATCACCTCCTAAGGCCAAGCCAGTCAAAGGAGTGGTGCACAACTGGTCTCAGCTGGAAGAGGTGTTTCCTGCACCTCACTGGAGAGCTTGAGTGGGATCTCTTTTATAAATGGCCATGAATGTGAATCATGATTTCGGGGAGAGCCACATGCCAGTGGGGGCCATGGATGCTAGCCCAGGCCACTCTGCACTGGCCTGACTTTACACCTCTAAGGACCAAATGTAATGCAAAGCTTTTAAGTGCCACATATCAAAGATGGTCTTTCCTATAAACCTTAATAGATTGAAGTATCTTTCCAGGATGACTGATTTTACTATTCCTTGTACTCCCATCAGCAATTACTGTGCTGATACATATTTACAACGAATTAACAGGCTTTATTCCCACAAGTTTACGCTCTAAATGACCATGAATTGGCCATATGCATCAAATTGGGGGTGGGGGGATTATGACAGAGGCCTATAAAATGAGGACTAGTGTGGAGAAAGAAGGAAGTGTTATTTACGCCATCTCATGATACAAGAAGTGAGAGGTTACCAAATGAAACTAATAAGCACTAGGTTTAAAACAAAGAGAAGGAAGTATTTTTTCACACAACACACAGTTAACTTCTTGCCAGAGGATGTTGTAAAGGTCAAGACTATAACGGTTCAAAAGAGAATTAGATAAGTTCATGGAGGATAGGTACATCAGTGATGTGTCTAGCCTCTGTTTGCCAGAGGCTGGGATGAGTAACTTGATGAGTACCCTTTCTGTTCATCCCCTTTGGGACACCTGGCATTGGCCACTGTCGGACAACAGGACACTGGACTAGATGGACCTTTGGTCAGACCCAGAATGGCCATTCTTCTGTTAAGCACAAGACCCCAGACAAACAAAGGAATTAGGGATGTTAAATAACGATTAACTGAACAGTCAAGTAACTTCATGAATTCTTATCTGTTACTCGACTATTCTATAGTCCCCGGGGGTGGGGCCAGCAGTCAGTGCGCTCTGGTCCTCACTCCTGAGGAGCCCTCTGCCACTCTGCACTGCTGCCTCTGATACGTAGGGTACCAGGCAGGAGCTGTTGCCCTGTGCTGCTGCCTCTAATAAAGAGGCAGCAGCATAAGGTGGCAGCAGCCCCTGTCTGGTGGGGTAAGTCTGAGCTCCCGGCCTCAGCGCAAGCCGGAACTGAGCCAGGCTGCCTGTCCACATGGCTCCTAATATGCTTTAAAAGCAGAACTGCAGAGGGGGTATGTCCTGACATAATAATATGAATCAATGTTTCTCTTGTTTTGAACCCCTGAGACAAGTTGATTGTAACTCACCTCCAGCCAAAGTGAAATAATGAAGCACAGAATTTTCAGTTCCCTGTGATGTTATCACAAAAGCTCATCATGTCACAATGGAATCTCAGCAGCAGAGAGGCGAGAAAGAGGATCTCTGGTGTGTGAAAGTGAGAACAAGAAACAGAAATTACCAGATAGCAAGAGGACTAAAGAGAAGAACAGGCATACAAGAGAATTACTGGTTCCAGTGTGGCAAGATTCACACAGCGGCTTGTGAACTGGTAGCTTGAGCCTAGCATAGGCAAGATCCGTACCATCCCCATAAAATCCTGATCTTCTGCCCCACAATAGCTCGTGGTTGGCTGGCAACACTGTAATATCAAAGGTAAATCAGCCAGTCAATAACCCGCTATCCTAGTCCAGAGAGCAGAGCTACCATACCCCTCTTCACAAACCTGAGATCTGATTCAGCAAAGCTTGTGAGCAGGAGGTACACACAGAACAGATACGGGATGGGACCTGTAATCTGTAAATGAGGGGATAGTAATGCCGCTCCCAGGGCTGGTAGGGGCTGAAAGAGTAATGGGGGGGAAGAGGACATGTGGACGGCTTCATAATAAAAGCACCACATGTCACATTTATAACCCAACTGTTTCTCGTGTGCTCTTCTAGTACATGACACAATCCCAGCATTCTTCACTCAAGGTTTGGTAACTTCCAAATGACACAAGAGACTGGAAAAAGGAACAAGGACTTTCACTCTCAGGTGACTGGGTCAGCAAAGATTACAAATCCTCAACTACCAGCTCCACTGCCAGTTGGTCTCTGGGCATTAGCTGCTTTGCATGGCATACGCTAGCAAAGCTGGCAGCACCACAGGCTGGGGGACTTTTCACTCTCCATGAGTAAGCAAATTGTAGTATTTTAGTACTGGCATAAGAATGTAAGTATAATTACAGTAATAAGTCCTGGACAACTATTTTCTTATCAGTTCTGTATGATTCCACCCTGCAAGTCACTCTTGTCTGGTTTACAAACTAAGTTATGTAAAGATCTTTTAGTACAGGGATGGGGAACTTTTTTGGGGTCAGGGGCTGCACACCCACAGAAAAATCAGTCAGGGGCTGCACAAAAGTGAGAAACAAAAAACCAAAACCAACCCCTCACTGTCATGGCCCCTGACTGAGAAGGAGAAAGAGAGTCCCCACAATTCCCTCACACACCAAAGCCTAGGGGGCCCAGCCCAGTAGATTTTTGTGTGGAGGCAGCTAGAACACCAGTGTTGGCTCCCCAATGTGAAGGGGGGCATGAGCCCCAGAGGCTGGATCCCAGCAAGCCAGGGGGCCGAATCCAGCTTCCCCATCCTTGTTTTAGTAACTTGGTTTGAAATTCTCTGTAAAATTGCTTGGTGTGAGTGCAGAATGTGTGTGAAAGCCATCACAAAAGTCCAGACAGTCAAGAAGACCTGAGAAACTTGGAGATGATCAGAGAATATCCATTGTGCCTGAGGCAGAACAAATTAGCAGAACAGAGGGAACTTTGAAGATAGGCAGACACTCCCAAAGTTGAGCCCACAAACAAGAGATAATGATGGGAAGCCTGACCATAAACATCAAAGGATAACTGCCAGGAAAACCCCAAGAGTCACACATCAAGGACTGCAGCATGACACTGCAAAACCCATTGATTCAAAATATAAAAAAGAAATGCTCTTCCCATGGAACTTTGGGTTCAGTTCTCCCTCAGAGCATCAAATCACCAGCAACAGAGCCCCGCTTGTGCGCCATCCAGCTATCCACTAGAATGGATTGACTTGAACGATGAGAGACTGGGAACTCTAAAAACAACCAGTAGTCCTGTGGCACCTTAGGGTACGTTTACACTGCGCGGCTATACTGGAGGTATCCCGAAATAGCTACCCCGTGTCTTAACAAGCCACCTGTTAGTTTGACATTTTTTCGAAAGAACAAGTGTGCTATTTCGGCATCCCTATCACCCTCGTCTCGCGAGGGTTACGGGCTGTCTCAAAATAGGGCGTCATTTCGAAATTTGCCGCTATGTAGACACGAAACATTTGAAAATAACCTCTTTCGAAATAGAATCGAAATAAGATACGCCATTTGCCTAGTGCAAATGGGCAGATCTTATTTTGAGTTTCGGGTGCTGTGTAGAGACGAACAAAAATATATTGTAGCATGAGCTTCCCTGGGTAAAACCCACTTCTTCAGATGAGACTGCGGGGGGAGGAGGGCTGGTATGTGCACGTGCTGTTTTTCACATTGTATTTTCAATAAATGTGGGAATTGCATTTCCCCTTGAAAAAGATCCCATGTGCTTCCTATAAGCCTCACACAGGGCTGCAGAGGTTCACCCTCCATAGCTGCCCCAGGGAGCAGGGCAAGCAATGGGGGAGGGGGTCAGCATCCCCTGGAAGCTGATCCCAGGCACGTGGCATGCGCCCCAGCAGGTCTCACGTGGACCCGCCTCAGGGCCAGGCGTCTGTTGGGGGGGGCAGGAGCGCTACATGGCCCCGCCCACCCCCTGCTGGCGGCAGGGCTCTGAGCCGCTCGGGGTCGGGCAGCTGCGACCTAGCTAGAGACAGAGGAACAGCTGGTCCCCATGGCGACAGCAACTTCCCAGAGCAGCCCCCGCGCCAGCCCGAGGACACACGCAAGCGGCTCGCGTGTTGCATGCTGGGATGTAGGGTCTCCGTAACGTCATCGCGCCGCTACGTAGGTCCCCCCCCCCCGTGGCTGCGAGCAGGAACCCGGAAGTGTTGCCATGG